TAAATTTATTTTAATTTTCTTAATTTAAATTGATTAGAAATGGGTATTTAAGTTTTTTAGAATTTATATTAATTGTCTAAATATTCTATAATTTAAATAAGATAGTATGATTTAATATCACTATTTATATTTTTTTTATTACTTATATAGTGCGTTGAAATCAATATTATTTATAATTTAACTAATTTTATTTAAATTAAAGAATGTAATATTTTTAACTATTCTTTTAGTTAATTATGATGACAATAGAGCGTATTAAATTTTTAGATTTTATTAATTAAATAATAATTAGAAAGTAATTTTTTCTTTGAAATATAGTTTTTCATTTTTTAAAAAAGGAAGTATTTTTTTTTTGATTTCAAGCCTTTTGATAAATATAATTTTAAACAGGACGTATGATTTAAATTTAATTTTCTTTAATTATTATTTTTTAATCTAAATTTGGATAGAATGTAAATTATTTAAATTTTTTGTTAGCTTAAATTATTGAATTTAAGGATATAGATGTTACAAAAATATTATTTATCTAAATAAAATTTAAATTAATATAGCCTGTAATAATTTTTTATTTTAATTAATAAAATTATTTATTTAAAATAGTTTGTAACAATATTTCATTATATTGTATTTTAATAACAAATTCAAAATAGCATGTAAAACTACTAAAAAATTTACTAATTTTAAATAATTACTAATAATTATTAATAAAGTATGAAGTAAGAAAGTCATTTCAATATATTAAAAAATTAAAATAGGATGTAATTATAAAATATAATATATTTTAATAAGATAAATTTATTAAAAAATTAGATAGTAGATCTTTTAATTAATTATTTTATATTAAATAATAATTTAATATTAGAAATGCGTACATTCTTTATTAATTTAATTTAATCAATTAAAATTAATAGTAATATTTTTATTTTTTTAAACTTTTATATTATTTTTATTAATTAGAATGTTTTTTTATTAATTTTCTTTTTACTGATTTAATTATATAAAAATAATTTAATAACAACCAGAATATGTTTGATAAATATGTATTATAATAATTATCTTATTTAAACTTATTAATTGATATAAACTTTTAATTTTTCAAAATATAATATGTCAATTTTTGTTTATTAAAAGGTAATAAAATTAGATAATAACATTAATTTTAATAAATAACTATTCCATTTATAATTATTTTACCAATATTTAGAGAGATGTACTTAAATATTATTATTATTTTATTTATTTATTTTAATAATAATATAGGCAGTAATTATCTATAATTTTACTTACTTAACTTATAGAACATTTTCCAATAAAAAAAATTAGAAAGTTAATCATAATATTTTAAATTGAAATAAATATAATAATTAATAAAAGAATGTAAATAAATATTTAAAATATTTATATATGTAAATTTATTATTATAGATACCAGAAGTAAATTTTAAATTAAATAATTTCTATTCAACATTAATTAAATATTTATAGATTGAAAATGTAAACTTTTTTATTAAAGTTTTATATATTTTTTTATGATAAATAGATTGTTAAAATTATTAAATTTATATATTGATTAAAACTTTTAATTTATATTTAGTGCGTAAATTTAATTATTCAATTTTTCAATATTTTACTATTAAAATAAGTCTGTAAGAAATTATTTTTTAATTAAATGTATTATTATCTTATAAAAAATACTATAGAATGTAATAATAATAAAAAAATTATTATATTTATTATTATTGAAAAAAAAAGTATGTATTTTGTTATAATTATTATATAAATATTTGATTTCAAATCAAAATTAGAAAGTAAAATCTTATTCTGAAGATTTATTTATTTATATAGGATGTAATATATATTTTTATTTTTTTATTTATAAATAAAAATAGGAAGTATTTTTTTTATATAACATAATATAACATGTTTATATGAAATTAGTGTGTAAAATTAATTTTTCACATATTTTTTTTATGAGAATACATTTCAAAAGAATGAAGTAATTTATAATTAACTTAATATAATAAATTTAAATTAAACAATAAAATTTAATGAATGTGTTATATATATAATATTAATATATATGTTTTAAATATTTTATTCTATTTATTTGATTTATTAATATTTAATTAATATTATTTTTATATATTTAAAGTAATTTAAGGTATTGTATTTTATTAGTATTTTAATAATCATCTTATAAAGGTTTAAATTAAATTATTTTTATTTAAATTGAATATATAAACATTATTAAGATTAACAATAAGATGTACTCATTTCTAAACATTTAAACATAAAAAAATAAATTAAAATAATGATAAATATAAAAAGTTGAGAATTTAAAAGAGCATAGAGAAAAAATATATATATATTAATTAATTTTTATAAAATATTAAAAATAACAAAATAAAAAAAAATGAAATATAAATTATATTAAAATTATTTTTCATCTTTATATTTATATAAAATAAAAAATTATCATTTTTAAATAAATTAAAATAATATTATAAATTTTTAATAAAATTAACTATATTGAGTTTTAAAGATATAAAATATAAATCTTAAAATTAAAATATAATTTTTATACAAACATATACGAAAACAAAGGTTAATTTCATAAATATTTACCAAATTTTTATAAGAATTTAAGAGTAACTTTCTTATACTATATAATATTATGTTTGATTTTATTATATACATATCTTAATCTTAAATATTATTAAGTATAAAAATAAATATTCATATTAAAAGATTTATTAATAATAACAATTAAATATATACACTAAAGTAAAAATAATAACTAATAAATATAAACAGAACAAAGTGTTGTTTAATAATTTATAATTAATAGAATAAATAACGAGCATATAAATAATTAAAAATTTTAAAATATAAGTTCAAAAGTAAATATTATTTATTATATATATATATTTAATTATAAATAATTTTATATTTTATATTTAATTTATTTATATAATATATTTTTATTTATATTAAAAAAAATATATTTATAAAATAAATATAAAATTAGATTATATAAAATTAAAAAAAATATATAAAATTATTTAAATTTTATTTTATTTTTTATAAAATTAGTAATAAAAAAAAAATTATTTGATTTTTTAAATGTACATCAGTTCTTTTTTTATACAAACCAAATTATATATTTATATTGTTAATAAATTAAATTATAATTAAAAAATATATATATTTTTTAAATAAAAAATATTAAATGGCAAAAATATTAATAATATTAAAAAGTAATTTTAATATGTTTCATTTATTTTTATTAAAAATAATTTGAATGAAAATCATATAAAAAATTATTAAGAATAAATTATAATTATATATAGATATATAAAATATAAAAATTTAAAATATATAAAAATTATTTTAAATAAAAAAGATAATAAATTTAATAATATAAATTAATGTAAAATATATTTAAATTAAATAATATTATATAAAGTATTATATTTAAAATAAAAAATATATAATTTTAATAGAAAAAATTGATTAATATATATATATATATATATATATATATATATATATATATATATATATATTTATCATAAAAAAATTAAATATAGGTTATTTCATCTTAAGAGAAAGTTAAATGTGCTGAATTTAAATTTGATTATTAAGATAATATAATTTCTATTTCTGAAAATAATTTATAACTAAAAAGAATTAAATTTAATAATTAAAAATGATATATATATCTTCAAAAATATATATATATATATATAATTTTTAAAAAATTTTTTTATTTTATATATAAATCTGAAAAAAATAAAAATAAAAATGAAATAATCTGTAAAAATAAAATCATAGATTTTAGTATTACATTAATTTAAAAATTATATTTATTTTTTATTAAGAATATATATATAAATTAATATTATTAATTAAATATATATAAAATTAACAAATATATAAAAACATTTAACTTTATTTATTTACATTATGTAATTTTTTTAAAAATATTTTTTTTTTTTTTTTTCTATTTATTAAAATTTTAAAATATAATAAAAGAATATTTTTATTTTTAAATTATAGAAAAAAAATAAAATAAAAAAAAATTAATTTATTATAATATTTAAGATTTATTAAAAATATATATTTTTATGTTAAAAATAATTATCTTAATAATAATTAATTTAAGCAATTAAATATTTAAAATAAATTTTAAAAATATAATTTTGAATAGATTATTATATATTTAAAAAAAATCATTATTTATTTATTTAATTTATAATAAAATAAAATGTTTTATTTTTTTAATTTAATTATTATCCAGAAAATATATACTTTTAAATATTTTTATATTTTTGAGGAAAATTTTATTAAATATGTTTTTTATAAAATATTAAAAATTAAAAAATTAAAAAAATTATTATATAAAAAAAAATATATATACATATATACTATTTTTATAATTTTATATTTTTAAATAAATGAAAAAAATATATAAGAATAATATAAAATATTTAAAACTATTTAATATAATTAATTATTAATTTATTATATAAAATACATTACATATTTATTTATATTAAAATAATATATTAAATACAATTAATTAATATTAGAAAAATAAATAAAATATATATATATATTTTATTTTAAATATATATAATAGAAAATATATTTTTATAATTTAACTTTTTTTTTTTTTAAAAAAATATAATATTGTTAGTTTTATAATTTATATACAAAAAAAAATTAAATAATTAATATTTTATTTAAATTAAAAAAAAAAATTAAATAATAATAATAATAATGAATTTTTTTTTTAAAAAATAATATCAATAATAATAATATTAAAAAATATTTAAACAATCCCATGTAATCACGACCACAACAAGGATATCTAATAATTTTATAAATAATTTGATAAATATTTTAATTAATAACTTTCAAAATAAGATTAACCGCGTATTTTATAAACACTAACCCCTTAACCATTAAGAATTACATCTGATTATACTCCAATTGATAATGTATCACCTGTAACAATAACTCCCGAATAAAAAAATTATCTAATAACTTTAGTAGAGACTGTAAAAATATATTTTGCAAATTTAATAAAAGTAATTCCAAATACTTCAAACAATAAATTTCCTTCTGGATGGTAAACTGTATGTTAAGGTGTGCCAGTACCATAAAATGATATTTAAATAGGTATTCCTAATTCAGATTTACATATATATATTACATATACTAATAATCCAGCTACATATGCGATTGCAAATGCTGGCTTTTGTGCTATAGATCCTATATTAAAGAGACCTAATTTTGGAAGAATTTAATTTAATATAGGAATAATAAATACAGATACATATGCACCTTTTAATTTTAAAAGCAGAATAGAGACCACTATTCATGAAACTATACATATATTAGGCTTTTCTGCTGCTTCATATAAATACTGGATTGATCCTGATACATAAACGTTTTATGGGCCAACTGGAGCAAGCAAAATAATAGGAACATAAATTATTAGAAATACTACAACAACTATTCTTTATTCTCCTAATGTACTAAAAACAAGTAAAAAATATTATAATTGTACCTCTATGAAAGGGATGTAATTGGAAAATACAGAAGGAACAGGAAGTTATAGTTCCCATTGGGAAAAGACAATTATTTTAAATGAAATTATGTAAAGTGAAACTGTAATTACTGACGCTTCTCTTTCTGTTTTAACTGCTTCTCTTTTAAAGGATACAGGTTTTTATGCTGATATAAATGAAAATTTTGTTTCTAATATATATTGGGGAAGAAATAGAGGTTGCGATTTTATAAATAATGCTTGTAGAGGTATAAATAAATATATAGAGTTTGTAGATTCCAGTGTTATTAAAAGTTGTACATTTGAATTTATGGGATAAGGTGTTGGGGCTAATCCGGCTAATTTAGATGGTTGTTATTATGTAAAGGCTTATAGTAATAAATTATGTACTAATCCTGATAATAATTAATTAAAAATTAATACTTATGTTAATTATAGATATGAAAAATATGGTTATACTTCTAGGTGCCTAAATTCTACTGCTAGTTCAGGCTAATATATTTTCTCAGACACTATGAGATGTCACGATATTTAATGTGCTCCTGATTATAGTTATATAACAATAAAATTTAGTCAGACTAATTAAGAGATTTAATGTACTAAAGAAAAGATGGTAGTTCCTGTAGATACATTAAACCCAAAAAAAGGAAAAATTACATGTCCTGAAAATTTTTAAAATTTCTGCGATTTTTAACCTCTTTGTAAAAATTTCTGCAGCTAAAAAGGAGTATGTATAAGGGGATTTTGTATATGCATATAAGGATAAACTGGAGAAGATTGTTCTATATAATGCCCTAAATATAGTGAAAATGGAGTATGTGTAACTTCTTGTTCTCTTGGAAATTACGCAGGGATAGATAATGTAATTAAAAAATAAATATTTTTATAAATAAAATATAAAATATTTTAGACTTGTAGGCCAACTTGTTTTAAAGGATTTTATTAAAATAATGGAGTATGTTCATAATGTCATTCAAGTTGTAGTATATGCACTGGTCCATTAGCTAATTAATGTACAGCGTGTTAATTTTTAACATATTTAGATGGCACTTCATGCGTAGAAACTTGTCCTTCTAATAAAATACCAAACGAATAAACTAAATTGTGCGAATCATGCTCTAATGGATGTTTGGTCTGCACTTCATCTACTACTTGTTCATAGTGTGATGTATCATTAAATTATGTTTTAAGTAATGGATTTTGTGTTAAAAATATGACTTGTGATTCTTCTTGCTTAGCATGTAGTGGAACTGCTACTTATTGCACAAAATGCTCCTCTCCTTTATTTTTAGATAAAGTTCTTGCAAAATGTGTCGTTTCTACATCTTGTCCATCTACTACTTTTGCCAATACTACAAATTAAGAATGTACGAATTGTACATTAACAGGATGTACTAAATGTTTAAATTCTAGTACATGTAGTACTTGTGCTGTTGGATATAGACTAGTAGGATCTGTTTGCTCTAATTGTACTTCTCCATGTTTAACCTGTTAATCCACTAGTTCTACATCATGTCTTTCGTGTGAATTAATTACTTAATTTTTGAATGGAAATTCATGTGTAACAACATGTCCTGTAGGCACATATCCTGACACTTTCACTAAATTATGTAAAGCCTGCTCTTTAACAGGATGCTCTGCTTGCTCAAGTGCTACTGTATGCACTACTTGTACTAGTGAATATACACTTATTAGCAATACGTGTGTAATCCCTTCTTTGTGTACATTTCCTTGCTAAACATGCTATTCTACTGATAATACAATATGTACTTCTTGTGTTTCAGGATATTACTTATTTTATTAAAATTGTTTTACTACATGTCCTTAAGAAACCTATTTAGAAACATCAACAGGAACATGTTAATGGTGTTAATATGGTTGCTTAAAATGTATAAATAATAATGTTTGCATTATATGTGATACTGCTAATAGATGGAAATTATATATTAATTATTGCATTGAGGCTACTGACTGTTATGATCCTTGCAAAACTTGTGTTTCATATAAACCTACAACTTGTAATTCCTGTTAAACAGGATATGTAAAATTAAAAATATTAATTTATATAAATAAATGTTTATATTTTTTTTTAATATATAGTATCTGTCTATTAATTAATGTTTAACACTATGTCCTAATGGAACAAAACCGACCACAGGCGTTTGCTGATTAATAAAACTCTAAAATATAAATATATATTAATACAATTGTAAATTTAAAATTTTTATTATTAATTAATTAATAAAATAATAAAAATAATCTAATATATATATATTATTAATCTTTTTATAGCTATAATTCATTATTTTTTATTTTAAAATAAAAAAAATATTGAATTTTCAAAATATTTTATTTTAAAAAATACCATGTAATTTTTGTTCTATTTAATATTTAAATTATAATTCCATTAATATTTTTTTAATTGAGCTATTTTTTTAACAAAAGTAATTTATATTTATGCTTTCGTCAGTAATATTAATTAATTTGAGTACAGTGAAATTTATATTTTTTGTACGAAATTTTCCTCTTCTATTATTTTTAAATAAAATTCTTACCAAATATGATTTTGCTATATTTTATCCTTCTACTCTAATTTGATAAGTATACTAATTATACCTTAACATGATTTTCTTAAAAATTTGAAATTTTCTACATTTAGTAATTGTGTTATTCGATATTGAAAATATTATTTATAAAGCCTTTAATGTTAATAGCCTAATAAAATATAAAGTAAATTCATTTGATTTGACTAAAATTTATAATTTACAATATATTCATTTAAAAAATATAAGATAATTATATTAATTAATAATATTAAATATATTAAAAAGTGTATAATAATACTATTATTTTTTTTTAAATAAAAATTATTCATAAAATTTAATATCTGCATATATAAAAAAATAAAATAATAATATTTAAAATTTTTTAGTTTATATAGTTAATAAAAGTATATTATACTTTTTATTTTGATTTTAAATAATATATATATTTTTTTATTTTTTCAATTATTAATTTTTTAAAGTTAACAAAAAATTTCATTAATTATTTTTTTAAAATTGAATAAATGATTTGTTATTAAATTTGCAAAAAAAATGTGTTTATTATTTATAAAATAAACATTAAAACATATATTCATATAAATAAATTTAAATTCTAATTTTTTTAAAAATATTTACTAAAAAAAAAAAAAAAAAATATGTATATTAATTATTTCTTTTTTTTTAATAAAAAAAAATATTCAATTTTCAATATAAAATAGTATTTTTATCATTAAAAAATTATATTTTTATGTTTTTCATTAATTAAAAGTAATTATTAT